GTAGGACTCCAGCGTCATCACGTGACATTCCCCTCCCATCTCTGTTCATCTTTCTTTTCCTACCACCTGGAAGCAAAGTTTCTTCCTTCCTTATGAATATATTTAAGGCTACACATTGTGCCTCTATGCATGGCTGTAGGTGCATCCTAAGTGTTTCATAAGTCATATTTTCGTTGTCAGTTGAAATATTTTTCATTTTCTTTGTGATTTCTTCTATAACTCATAGGTGATTTAGGTTATTTAATGCCCCTTGAACTCTCACCATATTAGCTATTTTCTAAGTCTTTCAAGCATTTACTTTTCATATTTATCCAGTTTCTATGATGGTTCTGCATGGAGCTATCAGCCTTATAAAAACTATTTAATCTGGGTTATGGCTAGAAATTAAAATTTAAGTATGTTTTAGGTCTGTAAAATAAATGAATATGAATAAATTCAGTTAACCACACTACAGTATACACATAGCTGAATTCTTGGCACTTATAGAAAAGCTTTCAGAATATTTCTTGAAATTTTCTGTGTTTGATTACAATATAGATAGCTCAGTGTAATTTTCATAATCAGAGTTTTGTGATACTGTATTTGAATGGCTTTAAGATAATTTATACCTTTTTATGTCCATATTAAAATATGGAATTAGAAAGACATCTTTGAGTATATTTCTTTGTATCAAGTTGTTCACTCAGGTGACTAGATTTTTCAAAACAGCCTACCCTATCCTAGGATAAGCCTAGAGGACTCCTGTCCCATGCAGACACCCATGCAATTACAAATGATGTGGGGACAAAAAGTGCTGCACAAAGGTACCTAAAACTGAACTTCTCTTTGTGATAATATATTTAATTGTGCCTGGTTTTAATTTATTTACAGCTTTCTTGAGGTATAATTGATATACAAAAAACTGCACATAATTAATGTATGGAATTTGGTGAGTTTGGACTTCTGAACTGGAGTTGGAGAAAAATGCCTCTGTAAATTTCAAAATAAAAATCAGTTTGTCCATCAGTATAAGAAAATAAGTACTTATTCCCTACCTCTTATGTGCCAGGAACATGCAGGGATCCTATAGACATATTACTGCTGTATCCAGACAGCAGAAAATGGAGCTTGACACAGTCACTCTAGTCACAGTGATTCTAAAATACAAAAGAATTTTATCTCAAAGATTGTCCTTGTAACAGGCACTGTTCCAATAATTTTATAATAATTATTTCATTTATTGCAACAAACCTGTGAGTTGATCACTCTTATTATTGGTGGTGGCTCTTGTTGTTTGCCAGATGAGATAAAAGAGTGATTAATTTGCCCAAGATGAATTCTTCAGAGAGCAGTGCATCCCGGATTTGAACCCCTGATGCCTTCTTCTAGACAATTGCTTTTAATTCCCCCTCCACCCCCCCAGTAATGCCTAAATGTCAGACCTGAAGTAGGTGTGTGTGCTGGAGGAAACTGCTTGGAGACAAATGTGTCTCCTTTAAATATGGACACATGAGCCACGTGGGGCTGGGCCCAGCAGGCCTGAGATATTTAGAATAAAAGACTGTGGGGGTCTCCGGTTCTTTTCCACTCATGGCCATATCCACCTCATAACTAGTCTCCTGCCTGCCAGGCTTCTGTTACACTGCCTGGGCTGTGTCTCAGCTCTGTCAGCCACCTCCCCCTTGTCATCTGTTCCCTGGTGACCAGGTTCTCAGCCCAGCCTGCTCAGGTGGAACACTACTTCCCTTTGTTCCACTTGGACACCCCAATGCTGACCATCCAGGAGATCTCCTGCTGCCCTGCACACCACTGTGTACACAAATTGGTCTCAGCCGGGTCCCAGACCTGGAGGCCCTCAGTGGTTTTTTGGGAAAAGAGGGCTCAGCTGAGCCAAATAACTGGAGACAGGATCAGATGTGTATTCTCAGAGACTGTGTGAAAGCAACATCAGTGCTCACATTTAAAAAAAAATCAGGATAAGATTTTGAAGTATGATGGTCAGAGAAAATTCTCTGAGGATAGAGATTTGACTGGGATCGAAAATATTTGATTATTTCTCTCAAGATGCATTGCCTAATATTTCCAGTTATTCAATCTCAGATGATATTTAAAATCATGGGGTACAATTTTAGTTTCTAATAGTGAACACGGAATATGTCATTGTAAAACGAGATGTGCTTCACTGTGAGATGGCAGGACACAAACATGATTGGGAACCACACAGGTGGGGATCTGAAAGCAAATACTGTCCCACGCCAGCTGCATAGCTAGGTAGGTTAGAAAATATTATTTTTCTCCATTTCTTCATGTTTGAGGAGAAGGATGGTCAGATACTATCTGAAATTTTGCTGTCCAACAGTAGCTACTACTCAGCCACATTGCAAGTGCTCAAGAGCCATGTGAGCTAATGACTACTGTGCAGAAAAACACATAAAAAATCATCATGGAACATCCTATCTGGTGGTGCTGGTCTATAAAATGTCAATCAAATTAATTTAGACATGGTGCTGAGAACATACTACCATTAAAAAAATAATAGATTTATATTCAGGATTTTTATGTTTGTGAATTTGTGGTATATAAGCCCAATATCTGTTTCAAGCCATTTTCTGTAAAAATTTGGGGGGCTGTCAAAGGAATATTCATTAACCAATGAATTTAGAGGAGAAAAAAGAATGCAAGTGAGCCAAACTTTGAAAGAGTTGGCATCCTAAATACAAAACTCAATATAAAGGAGGAAAATATAACATCACCAAGATTTCCTAGATTTGCAGTGGAAAACAGCAACATTCTCGCATGATTTATCAAATGAGGAAAAGCTTACCTTCTGAAAATACCGAGCCTTCTACTGCATGATCAGAATAAACCTCAATTTCTTTAGGTTTTCAGAAATAAAATGATTTTAATGTTTTAGAACTTTAATTCCCAGGATAGTTAACTTTTAAAGTTATAAATGTTATAAATTCTAAATGTCTATGTATCATTTGATTGTATACATGTATATATACATATAAATATAAATACAAATGATTTTGTGTATTGAAATACCATTCATTGTCCTTGCTAAATGTGTTTAAGTCTAATAGTTTATCAGTAAATTATAATTAATTTTCTGCTGTCTTCCATTAATAATTCCTTTGCGATTCTAACATCTTTTATTTCTTTGTTTGCCTATTGTACTGGCTAGGACTTGCAATAACACATATAGACCTTTTTGCCTTTCTATTTATTTCAGATGGAAAACCTTAAAAGCTTTCATTTATGGAATTATTTTTAATTACAGATTTAATTTATCTAACAGATCAATACTTACGTTCTTTATTTCTGGTCCTGTCATTTTTATTAATAAATATGTTTCTAGAAATATGACCATTTCACACAAATTTTCAAATTTAATGGCCTAACCTTGTATCTGATATCCTCACATGATTTTTAATATCTGTTATTAATGTAGTGATACCACTTTTTAAATTTCTGATCTTGGTTATTTGAGCCTTCTTCATTTTTTCTTGATAAATTTCACGAGAAATTTATCAGGTTCAATAATCCTTTCAAAGGATTTTGATTAATTCCCCCTACTTCATGTTTGTTTTTCTTTAATTTCTTATCTCTATTATTTACTTCAATGTAATTTCTCTGCTATATTTATTCTTTCTTCCATTTTAAAATATAAATTTGGACCATAAAATTCCCTCTAAGAAACTTGTTAAAGCAAACAGAATCCAATAATATATAAAATTATAATAAATCATACCAGAAAGCTTTATTCTTGGAAAAAAACGGTAAGTTAAACATTTGAAAAATCTGTCAGTGCAAATAACCGCAATAACACAATAAAGAGAAAATAACGTGACCAGCTCTTAAGAAATGCAGAAAACTACATGACAAAATTCAGTATACATCCATAAGTACTCTTTATATTTAGGAAAATAATTTTTTTTTTTTTTACTAATGTATTAAAATATATCTGCAAAGTGACAGCTCAGGCGTGGAAATTAAAAAGCACCACTCATGGGCAGAAGGGTAGAGAATATACTATGAAAGGCTGGCCCAGCACAATACCGTACAAAACTGGGTGAAAGAAAGAAAGGGAAACAAAGAGCCACTGTGAGTTAACCAGAAAGAGAAAATAAAAGCCAAAGGGGACACAAAGGGGACAGTGGCTTATTAGGCCAGCATCAGGACCAATGAAGTCTGCAGCTTCTACACAGTGGGAGGGGAGCCCTGCAATCCACAATAACCTAAGAGCTGAAAGGCGCTAAATTGGCCTCAGACCAGAACCCTGCTCATGCCTCACTGGCGAAAAGCCTTTCCAACCTAAGCCCGTAAGAATTTCCAGAAAACAAAGAGCAGAAGAAATCAGGTCTTGTCAACACAACTAAATAAATAAGGCTTCCAGCAGTGACAGTCAAGAAACCCAGAAACAAAAATAATTTAAAAAATAAGACCTACAGACATAAAACGGAGTGAACAGACAAAGCCTTTACAAAATGTGTGAGATGGTTCAGAAATAAGATGAACTTTACACGGTAACAATAAAAAGACATGAGGATTATGATGCTTTCAATAGACATTATGAAAAAGCAACGAAATCAATGCGCGTGAAATAACACTGGAACAGATTGCATTAAAAACCTTAAAGGGCTGTGCTTCCTTCGCTTGGAAGAGCCGCGGGACGGCGAGGAGCCGAAAGCAGCAGAGCAGGGGCTGCGCCGGAGCGGAGGGCGGCCAGCGCTGCCGGCTGCGAACACAGGAGGAAGCCGGTCGCCATTTCCTGCCGGACCAACCGTGCGCCGACCCGGTGGAGGACTGACGTTGCCGCACAGGAAGTGTCCGCCGCGCCTGCCCAGAGAAGGAAGTAGGAACACAGGCACAGGAAGCAGGGAGCGGGGGAAAGTGAAAAGAGACGCACATCTTCTAGGGAGGAGCCCAGGAGCTGGCTCCCGGCCTCCGGGCCTCAAGCCCGAAAGGAAGAGGTACCAGGGAAGTTCCGGCACCATTTTCGGGGCGAATAAGCTGCCATGGAAGAGCCTGCAGCTCCCAAAGAACCCCACGAGGCAGCTGGGGCCTCTGGGGGTGCTGAGGCAGCGGGGGAGGGCGTCCCCCGGCCGAGCGTCCCGGTGCGCCCAGTCTCCCGGTGGTCTTCGGCTCCAGGCCCGGCCCCCTTCCGCCCGTCACGTCTGAGGCCCGCCCAGGCCTCATGGGGAGGGGCTAGGCCCAGATGGCTCCAAGGCCGGAGCAGCGGCAGCTGGACAAAGCAAGTCGTCTGCAGGTATTATCTGCATGGGCTGTGCAAGGAGGGGGAGAACTGCCGATACTCCCACGACCTCTCGGGCCGGCAGGTGGCCAGCGAAGGCCACGGTTTGTTGCCCCAGGCCTCTGCAGACAGTGGCCCCAGCACGGCTGCGCACATGGAGCCCCTGCCTCAGGAAGTGGCGGAAGCCCCCCCTGCTGCGTCCTCACGCTCCTTGCCTCTGATTGGCTCGGCTGCTGAAAGGGGTTTCTTTGAAGCTAAGACAGACAATGCAGGCCTTGAAGCTGCCGGAGGAGCAGGTGCAGAAGGCTGGGAGGGTGCCTTTGAGTTTGTTCCCGGGCAACCCTACCGGGGCCGCCTGGCCCCTTCTGTCTCCGAGGCTCCTCTGCAGAGCTCGGTGACTGAGAGGGAGCAGATTGCCTTGGGCATGGGGAAGCAGCTTTGCCGCGATGCTATCGTGGGGCAGTGCTTTCGTGGGCAGAGTTGTATCTATCTCCACGGAGATATATGTGATATGTGTGGGCTGCAGGTCTTGCACCCTGTGGACGGTGCCCAGAGGGCAGACCATGTAAAGGCCTGCATTGAAGCACACGAGAAGAATATGGAGCTCTCGTTTGCTGTGCAGCGCAGTGCGGACAAAGTGTGTGGCATCTGCATGGAGGTTGTCTATGAGAAAGCCAACCTGAATGATTGCCGCTTTGGCATTCTCTCCAGCTGCAACCACACCTACTGTCTTAAGTGTATCCGCAGGTGGAGGAGTGCCAGACAGTTTGGGAGCAGGGTCGTCAAGTCCTGCCCGCAGTGCAGGGTCATCTCCACCTTTGTCATTCCCAGTGAATTCTGGGTGGAGGAGGAGGAAGAGAAGCAGAAACTTATTCAGCAGTACTTGGAGGCAATGAGCCACAAGACCTGCAGGTATTTTGCTCGAGGCAGGGTCTGCCCATTTGGAGAGAACTGTTTTTACAGACATGCGTTCCCTGAGGGCCAGGGAGAGGAGCCTCAGAGGCAGGGTGCTGAGGCGTCCAGTACTTGCTGCGGTCAACGTTTCGAGCCTCTGCAGGTGGGAGAGGGCAGCATGCCCTTTAAAAGCAGTAAAAAAGAGCTTGTCATGCTTTGGCTGGCCAATCTGTTGTGTAAGTGTTTTCTTTCACTGGGAGCTAGTGAGCTCCCCTTCACAGAGGCCCTATGGGACTTGGCGTCATTGTGAGTTGGAAGAATATTTCAATTTGAATCTGTGGCATTATGCTGTGGCATGTTGTCTGGTGTGCTGAAGCTCTGTCATCTGCTCTTGCCTGTGTTTTGTTTATAGGCACATTTGTCACTTACAGGGGCTGCGGAAACCATTTGTATAGAGCATCCATCACTGTTTTCTTGCCCATTCCCATTTCTTGCTCCCCAGGATTATGGTGTTTCACTGTGTTAAAAAGTAACAAAACGTCCTTAAAGTTACTGTTTGGAGAAATTAATATGACTGTCAGTTTATGGTTTACTTTGTCATCTCTGTTTTCAACAGGATTGACTCAGTTCTAGTCTAGTGTTTACAGAATTTCCACACTCATTTTGAAGCCCCTCAAGAATAAATGTGACAGGGTGAAAGGAGAAGTCTTAACTGAACAAGGAGCTTTTTGCTACTTCAGTCTTAAGAAATGGACCCTCGTGGGGCTTTGTGGTGCAGCTTCAGCATCTCTGTTGTTTACACGTCTGTTCCTTCCCCTGTTCCCCTTCAAGTGCACTCTTTAACTTGTGGTTACCTTGTGGTTTTGTGTTTTACTTGACCAGAACCAGGTGCATATGTTTACATGTTTTTATCCTGTTTAGCTTGATGTGAAATTATTTATATTTGGAAGTATATATTTAAGAATTCTATATATACATACATCTGCATATTAATGTGTATGACAGTTATGTATTTGAAAATATATTTAAAAGGTGTATACCATAATATAATGTTTAGTTAATAAAATAAATACAGAGCTGGAAGCTGAAGGTCAAAGGCTGATAGGATTTGGTGTTGTGTGAGTGTGAGGCACATGAATAATCATTATGTCCCTTTCACAGCTTCAGTGATTAGCATCTAATGAAAACAGCTATTTGAGTGGCTCTATCCAAATGTGGTAGACATTTACAAAATACGACATTGGTAATTCCTGTGATGGCATTAATAGCTCATTGCTGTTATTAGTACAGAAATGTGAATTCCCGTGCAGTTCAGCCACCATCTCATTGATCTTTATAACAGCACAGTCCTGGACTCAGATACACAGTTCTTTGTGTTCAATATTTTGTGTCATCTCTAGACATTCCAAAGAAGGGGCTTTTGAACATAAAAGTGACAAGATTTTAAAAGATAAAGAACAGTAAACAGTAAACATTTTGAAATCAGTCAGAATGCAAGAATAGAAAGATAATAAGTGAAATATAGAAAGTGACAAAAGCTAAATGCAATAGTAATTTGGAAAGTTTAAAACACAAATACACCGTAATTATATTAAATGGAATTGGTTTAAAAACTAAAACTTAAAGATTAGCAGACTTGATTAAAATTAAAATGAAACTATATGCTGTTTAAAATACACACCTACAATAGAAGAATACAGAAACATTATAAGTAAAGGATAAAAAATTAATCAGAGGTGCTGTGACCTTTGAGCACAGATGGAGTTCACATTAAGGATAAATACATGGCTGGAGATAAATAAAGACGATATGTAAACATGAAATTATAATTTACCAGGAAGATAAAACTTCCAATTTTATGTTTGGTACCATAAGATTAGATATACAAATAAATAATTGATAAGAAAACTACAGAATCTTGGTAGACAATTTGAATACCTCTTCTCAGTAACTGAACAAACAAAGAAAGAATGTGAGTTGAATAGCACAATTTTAATAGTTTACCTAATTGACCTGTATAAAATGCTGTATATCAACTGCAGAAAGCTGTCCTCCTGGCTAAGATAGCTGAAAGTATCCTGGGGGCCTAAGTCACAGGAGATACAGACTTCCCTGACTGTGCAACAAAGACAGGGTGCATTTACAGCGTTTATACTCTTCAAAACACTGATTTAATTCTCAAGACCACCTTATGAGGTACTTGCTATAATTTTTAGCACCGTCATGATGAGATAAATAAGATAGAGGGGTTAAATGACTTGCACATATAGCCCTGACCCGTAGGAATGAACTGGTGGAACAGCGAATGGACCTCAGGTAGTATATTTCCAGAGCACAGGCACCATGCTGCCCCTTGCCCCACATATATAACTGAGAGCAGGTGGACCCACTGAATATAGGTACTGGAAACACATGTGCAATCTTTACATATGGAGGTTCAGCGGGGTGGGACAGACATGGGCATAAATAAGCTACAGAATGTGGGAGCCCTGGCGCTTTATCTGTGGGCTGCCAGACTCAGTATTTCTTAATCCACTGCTCAGAATGTACCTCAGCTGCCCATATTTGTACACTGCCTCTCCCTTCTTACATGATTCCTGATTCTTTGGGTAAGTATCAGCCTGTTTCACTGGGGTCCTTCCCTTCTAGATTCTTGTTATCCGTCAAGAGGCCCTGGATGCCTGGCTGTTGCTGGCATGTAGGGTGAGTAATTCCAAATGAAATCCAAACATATTTCTACCCCCAGGTTTCCCTAGTCATGCAGGGGAAAGGGGGCTTAGATAACCAAACAACCAAAGAATAGGACCAGATGGGGCACTCTCAAAGACCACACTGACACCAGAGGCTCAAAACATGAGCGCTGAGTGGTGGCGATGCTGTCAAGGAGGACATTTTAAACAAGCACAGAAAGCTTTGAAAAGTTTGTCCTAATATGCACTACCTAATGTGAAATATCACTTTTCTATTCAAATAGTATCTTGAACCAAACAATCATAATAAAGATTGGGAGATAGCATGTGACAAGGGTGTATAGAAGATAAAATGGTTTGGGAGACAGACAAAGGATGACTAGAATCCCAACTCTGCTTCTTACCAGCCCTGCAGTCAGGAGCAAGTTATTTAAGTCTCCTATACCTCAGTTTCTTTATATGAGAAATGGGTATAACACCACCTATTTTGCAGGGTTGTTGTGAGGATCAAATGTAACCTGGACAAAGCTTGAAACATAGGTGGTATTTTTAAAACAGCATGTATGAAAGTGGTATTTGTGTGTGTTTGTAAACCTGAGAAAAGCTTGCACAAGAATTAAAACTCCACCAGGTTTTTCTCTTTGGGAAACTTTGGAACTTGTGTTAAGGTAACATTATTATTTTATGATTATTTTCTTAGGAAGTAGGAACATTACCTTTATGTTCATAATTTCAAAAAGACCAAGCAATTTTTTTTAGCAAAAAGTTAAAACTAAAAATGTGCTATTCAATTCCTGAAAATATAACAAACAAGAAAAAACAAAGCATATTATTTGTGACAGATGCCTACATGAGGAAAATAAATAAGATGATATTTTTAAGAAATGGGATTCCCTTTTCCCTCATCAGCTCATTCAGAAAGAGATCGAATAACAGGGATATCAGCACATCCAAAGCTGGGTGAAGTGTCCGAAGGGCCTGCCCATAAGGACAGCTGAGCCACCCCTGCTGCAGTCAGGAACAAAGGAGCCCTTGCCATACAAAGTTTTGCTCTGTGAGTGATTCAGAATGTATGCTGCCCCTCCTTCAGGAGACTCATGGATTCAGACCCTGGGGCTCGTGCCATATAGAGTGTCATTCTAGCCAGACAAAGAATGCCTGGGTGAAGCAAATCTGATTTTCTTATTCTTCATGTATCTAAATTCGGTGGATGTAAAGACTTACAAATATGCTAAAAATTTACCTAGTACTCCTTCACAAAATCCATTTACTGAATATCAGTGACTTAAAGGCAAAGATTTCCAGTTCATAATTATGCCTATATGGTGTTCCATTTTTCACTTTTGTGAACATCACGGGGGTGTGGTTTCTGTTTCCACAGCAGATGCTAAACTACAACCTAAGTGTGGAATGAAGTTTGGGTGGGGATGGAAAAAGGGATGTTTGGAAAATAACCCAACACTAGTGCAAAGAAATAAATTAATACATGTCAGAATTTTGCCATTAAAAAATATAGCATATCACATTTTCCAGTGTTGATCACTAACAAAAAATAATTGACTAGGTATTAGATCACAGTGAAACTGTCAAATTGAGAAATTAGTAGTACAGGCAACATTCTCTGATGTCAATACAAGAAAATAAACCACTACCACATGAAAATTCTTTTAAATATCTCTCTCAAAAAATTTTTGATGAAAGAGTGAATTCAAAATCTTCTAGAAGGATAGAATAAGGTAATGAAAATTTATATATACCGTAATCTATAGGATAGTGCTGAATCTGTGCTCAGAGTAAAACTAATCTTAAATACTAATATATAGTATCTAGAAAGACAAATTACATAATTAAATAGATATCCAAATCTGTAAATTTTAAAGAAACTACAACATTCAGACACACACACACACACACACACAAACTGGTAAGCAGAAAGAATTAAGAAAGATTAAAGCAAAGATTAGTGGATCATAAAATGCAGATATAAAAAGCTGCTTTTTTAAAAAAATCGATATACAGATAAACCACTAATGTAATCACAAATAAAGGTAGAAGTGCAATTAAACAAAATAGGAAACAATGAGTAGGAAGTAATCAGAGAAAAGAAGACACCAAAGAAATGGGAGATAAACCCTTGTTACACTGAGGCAAGTGCACTTGGAAATGTGATAGGAATTTAAATTTTTCAAAGTAATTTTCCAAACAACAATCTAAAATACAAAGTAAATCAAACCAAACCAATTGCTAATGAAAAATTAAAGAAAGTTATCAGGAATGTACTTATGCCCCTGACTGCCCAAAAAAGAGAAGAGCAGAAGACATTTGTCCCAGAAATTTACTAAAAGCTTTAAATAGATTGCAATGATATATAAACCATTCCAGAGAAGAGAAGAAAGGGGACACTTATGAAACATATGAATGACACCTAACATTGGTATCAAAATGTTTCCAATACAGTACAATACAAAGTTAATTAGAGCCCAATCTCATTTGTGAATATTGATGCCAAAAAATCTCAAATGAAAAATTAACAAAAAAATAGCACAGTAGAAGAGTACATCAGGAAAGAGTAGGTTATATTCCAGGTAACAGGATGGTAGAACATGAGAAAATATTTTTATCTTAATACGTCGAAAGAAATAATGATTTTAGCATCTTTGTATATCTGAAAAAACACTAAATTC